CACAAATGACTGAAAATGTTATCAAAACACAATATACGTGTTATATAATAACTAAGTTTAAAATACATGATTGCAATAAATACAAGTCTATTTCTACACAGTATCACCACTATTAATGCACCGGGAAACGTTGCTAGTTACAAAAAAGATCAATTTTTGTGTATAATTTCCAATATTATTTTTAAAATTTTAATAAGGGAACGCTTCTGTATAAATAGCATTCGTATTTACGATACTTAAAATATAAAAAGTAAAATTTTACGAATATCTAACAAAAAATTATGTTATCATGAAAAAAAGAATAACAACAGAAGGAATTATGCCATACATCCTTACAATTATGTCACATCCTATTAAAGTCCACTTCTGAACATAGGTCTTTATACATAGGGGGGGATATTTGCCGTAGTTGTCACTGTAAGCAGGCGGGTTAGCACCCGTAGTTTTTTTATTTTCTATTTGTTACTAGGATGACTAATCTAGGACGATGAATTGTACAACCAGAGCATGTTGCCAGTGATGACATATGGAACTGAGACATGGTCCCTCACTGCTGGCCGTATGAGGACGCTCAAGGTCGCTCATCGAGCTATGGAGAGGGCTATGCTCGGAGTTTCTCTGCGTGATAGACTCAGAAATGAGGATAACCGCAGTAAAACCAGAGTGACCGACATAGCCCCAATGGATTAGTAAGCTGAAGTGGCAATGGGCCGGCCACATAGCTCGACGAACCGATAACCGATGGGGAAGAAATGTTCTCGAGCGGCAGCCTCGTACCGGTAGGCGTAGTGTAGGGCGACCCCGACTAGATAGAGTGACCTGGTAAGACATGCAAAAGTCGATGGATGCAGGTGGCTCAGGACCGTGCTTTGTGGCATTACTTGGGGGAGACCTATGTTCAGCAGTGGACTTGTGAAGGGTTGTAATAATGATGATGATGATGATGAGTAGGATGACACCATCTTTTTTTTTTATAGGATAGGGTGACAAGCGAGCACACAATCCACCTGATGGTAAGTGGTTGCTGTGGCCCATAGACATCTACATCTATCCTCGATTACGAATCAAAATGCAGATCCGTTGTCACCCGTGAGGACTAAGATGGAATGCCTCGTTTCCAGTAAAAAGGGTCTCCGATTCTCTACACTCACCATACGAAACACAGCAGTATTACGCTACTATTTTACGCTGGTATTCCGTGAGATCTCCTATTTCGTTCCCCTCAGTCACCAATTATGACAACCATGAGATGCAGATATGGGGTAGCCGTAATTCTTACCGCCACTACACGGTGAATAGTCGAGTACTACACAATGAATAAATTATTTTTATTAAATATTAGATAGTGTATAAATTATATACTATTATTTGTTGTATTAGGTATCGGATTTTGAAATAAATTAAACAGTATAATTTACTTCAAAATCCAGTACTCATACAACCACAGTAAGGAATATTTTCAAATCCTGTCGTCTGAGCTACCTCGGCTCGGCTAGTATCATGTTTATTAGCATTATATTTTTCTAAGTTGTAGGATTTAACTAAAGAACACGATTAATTACATGATGACGACAACATAACATCTCATAACTATTTCGAATATGTTACACCTTGGGATAGGTGTCATTTTAATATAAAATAAATAAATAACTAAAAAATACAGCTATATCTTAGTGTAAAGATAATATGTACGAGCAAACTAATAATCAGTTTTAGCAATCACTACGTGATTTTCTTAAGTTTGGTAACATTAGTTCTTATTTTATGAAAACATATTTTGAATGGTTAGATAAATAGCTACTAAAATACAAATTGATTCTCATGTCATGAATTTACTAATCATATTTATATCCTTATTGAAGCGAAACTTTTTTATCGACGTAGGTGGAGAAATTTAGAACGGCATAAAAAACAAAAACGGTTTTTTGTAACGTTTCATTGACGGGGCTGCATGTAAAATATAAAAATAGAATATGTCGTAAAGAAGTTTCACTTCATACGTGTGTACACAATTATTACACGCACATTTTTTAAACTAAAAACTAAGATAATATGTGATAAACTATAAAACTTCTCTAAATTTTAACGTTAATAATATCGCGGAAAAGTATCAACATTAAAGAAATGTACGTAATTGTATCAAATAAGGACTTCTTATTTACAATTGGTTTGAAATTCATGTCAATGAAAAGTACAGAGTTTTGATCAAACGGTGGTGATACTGTAAGATATTCCGGTTACGTATTCAAATTATCAGCCTGCCTTTTACGATTGCCTTTTAAGAAAAAAAGAACAATTTAACCTAATTTTACAAAATAAAATTAGACAGTTAAGTTTAATTTAATTTAACTTGGTTAATAATTTTTTTTTTATTAACCAAGGTTAAATATAAACTACCTGTGCCGGTAGCTGTTGGGAGCACTAATCTCGAAATTGTGGACGAGTATGTTTACCTGGGACAAAAATTCCGACTAGGTAAGTCTAACTTTGACCAAAAGGGTCAATCAACGTATTCAACTCGGCTGGGCAGCGTTCGGGAGATCACGGCACATCTTTCCTTCAGGTATACCCCAAAACTTGAAAACTAGATTGTACATCACTGGTTAGTGCCTGCTGCAGAGATAACTTATGGATCTGAGACGTGGTCCTTTACTGCCGGCCGTATGATGAAGTTCAAGGTCTCTCAGCGAGCTATGAAGAGGGCTTTTCTCGGAGTTTCTCTGCGTAATAAACTTAGAAACGGGAACATCCGCAACAGTACTAGGGTAATCGACATAGCCCAATGGATAAGTAAGCTGAACTGGCAATAAGCTGGCCATATAGCTCGAAGAACCGACAACCGATGGAGAAGAAAGGTTCTCGAGTGGCAACTTCAAAACGGCAGGCGAAGTATAGCGCGGCACCCCATTAGATGGAGTGACGACCTGGTAAGGACATGCAGAAAGTCGATGGATGCAGGTGGCTCAGGACCGTGATTTGTGAAATTCTTTGGGGGAGGCCTAAGTTCAGCAGTAAACTTGTGAGGGGCTGTAATGAATGAATTAATTAGTATATTAAAAAAAGCCTGATATGTTATATAATGGTAAATAAAATAACTGATATAATATTCATCTGTTACTTGAGCTTTTTAACCGAATTAAAAAAGGAGGAGATACCCAATCCAACTTTATGTTTTTTCTTAATTTTACGAGAACAGTAACTTTTTTTGCGTGAACCGATTTTGATGATTTTTTTATTTGAAAGCTGGTGATTCTTATGTGATCTCATATACATATGATCAAGATTTGGCCTGTAGTTTTTGAGTTATCCTTAATAATGCGTATTTAATTGACTTAGATGATGTTCTCATTTTATTTATATCGTAGTCGGTTCCACAAAAATTTTAGTTTTACCACTTGCTGTTATTTTGTATTTATAATTAAATTGAAAGTTATTTTAATAAAATTATTTTCGATGAAATATGTTAAAAGTATTTGTTTTACTATATGATCCAACGTTACTGGCAACATTTTATCCTTTTTATATTTAAATTCAATATGCGTGCGTAATACATTATTTTAACTGATTTCACTGCGTAGGCACACATTCGAAAAGGACGATCGGTAGGCAAAAACGTTGTTCTATGTTATATACTATACTATACCATATAAACCACATTAAATTTGGGATAATTTCAAATAAAAGTAAAAGCCTTATTTACTCGTATTTTCAAAACTGCAATACCGGTGAATCATTATTATTTTATATATATTTGAACTTAAGTTTAAAATTTGGCTACTCTTTAAAAAATAACCCTGAATATTAATTAATTAAATCTTCATCGATTGCCGACGACGACGACGCTACCGTTAAAATCTCCCAATAATTTTGCAATGTTATGCACATATTGAGAAGTTTTTATACAAATTATATTAAAAATAATTTTTTTATTACTTGACTCTGGCAGAAGTACAAGTACTAAAGAAAAATAAAGGCAAGGCTGATGTGTCCGATTACGTAACAGTTTGATGAATAAATTTTAGCTACAAACGTGCAAGACTTTCACGTACTCGTATGTTATATTAATATTATAAGCGTGTTAACATGTTTACCGATTGTTAAAATTTATTCACCAGGGCAATTACACTGAGTCAAATACATTTACTTAAGTTACGTATAAATAAATTATATTAAGAATCGCCTCTACGAATATACAAAATTAATACAAAACTTACCATACTAATACAAATTACATCACAGTTCAATAAACAAGATAGCGTTAAAAGTTAGAATACAGACAATTCAAAGGTATTATACTCGATAAAACGAAGATAGAAAAAAATGTTACAGTATACTTAAAATTCATATGTATAAAATTAAAAACAACAATTTGGTGAGTTCGTTCAGGGTAGGTACACTTCGAATTTTAGGAACATATACATTCGTACACCCGAAAATATTTACCTTTTTAAGGTAACTTTAGCTCTTAAATGCCTAATGTTTAAATCGAATAAACTAACAAAATCAATTACAGATAAAATCGTGCACGCAAAATCTTTAATGAAAAAGTACATTTCATCATTTAGGAAAGATTCGGTAGAGAAAATCCTAATGGATGTATGATAAAAAGGGCGCTCTTACACACTAATGGGTAAAAAAGCTACTTCATTAAAAAGTTATATAAGGGGCCTGAATGCATGGCTTCAAAATACTGTGTAATTGCAATGTACTTATGGGTAAAGGGTAAGCTAGATTACAAATTTTAAAAATGATACTTATTAACGTTGGTTGGATAATATCGTAGTAAAATATCACTTTATTATTGTTAAAATGACAAAAATATATGTAGTTTATAGTGTCCACTGTTACTAACTGGTAATGAGCATACATTTTGACAACTTTTTCATCATAAGAACGCTAATGTTTGTTAATACGTATATTTATTAATTGTACGTTTCATAAAATGAGGCTAAGAGATTTCTGCCGCCTTAACTTACACTTCTATTGAAAATGTCTTTTGCTTACGGGTAAGACGACAGTGCCTGTTGAGGCCACGCTATTTTGGCGTCTATCCTTTTATAAGCCAGTATAAAATTCTGTCCGCTTTTCTCTGACATGACCTCTTGTGGGCAGTCGTTTTCGTTAAGCATTGTTTCTGAAAAAAAAAAACGTTATATTTTCAAATCTGTAGTTTATCTTATGACTTTATTGTTTACTTTTACGTGAATAAATTTGTTAAAAACTGATTCCTGATTATCGCCTCCAATTTTTTACTTTTAAGCTGAGTTTTATTTTCATCGTCATCGTAATCATTACAGCCCTTTACAAGTCCACAGCTGAACATAAGCCACCTACAAGGAATGGCACAAATTGCGGTCCTGAGCCGCTTTAATTTAAAAACGCATTGTTATAGCAACATATCCATAGATTTGGGAATGGGTAGTTACCTATGCGGTCGAATAAGTGCATTACACTACACAGTGTAATGAACTATTCGACAGCATAGTGCATTACAGTACAGCTGACATTATAAGGCGAAGATTTTAGCACCTATAGCATGATTATACGTGGTAGAGAGCTATGCCGCAGCTATATTAGTAGGTAGTATAGTTGTAGCACGAATGGGTCGGCTCGACCGGGGAAGGACCACGCTCTCACAGAATACCAGCGTAAAATAGCAGTTTAATACTGCTGTGTTTCGTATGGTGAATGTAGAGAACTGGAGACCCTATTTACTGGAAAAGAGGCATTCCATCTTAGTCCTCATGGGTGACAACGCATCTGCATTTTGATTAGTAACCGAAGATGAATGTTGATGTCTAAGGGCCACAGTATCCACTTACCATCAGGTGGACTGTGTGCTCGTTTGTTACCCTTATTCTATAAAAAAATGAAGTAATGAGCCTCATATTCTGGCCATGAGGTCCATCCACAAATTTCTCTGTCACCAGGGCGGCGACACTTTGGAATGAGGTGAAATATATGAAATGTTTCATAGCGAGGAAGTTAATTTTTTACGAAAATGTAAGGGTTAATGTTTGTTTTTCTTATAGGATAGGGTGACAAACGAGCACACAGTCCACCTGATGGTAAGGGGTTGCTGCGGCCCATAGACATCTACATCTGTCCTCGATTACGAATCAAAATGCAGATGCGTTGTCACCCGTGAGGACTAAGATGGAATGCCTCTTTTATAGTATCAAGGGTCTTCGGTTCTCTACATTCACCATACGAAACACAGCAGCCCATAGACATCTACATCTATCCTCGATTACGAATCAAAATGCAGAGTTTATGAGGATGATGGATTTCGGTCTCGTTCTGGATTAAGGTACTATTTGACGCTGGTATTCTGTGAGAGCGTGGTCGTTCCCCGGTCGAGCCGACCCATTCGTGCTATAACTATACTACTAATATAACTGCAGCATATTATATAACGTATCCATTACCTTGTCCGTCGTGCAAGGCGAAGAGCGCGTAGTCCTGCGGGTTGGTGATGGCGGCGGCGTGCGCGAGCGCGCGGCACAGGTCGCGCGCGCGCGCGCCGGGCCGGCACGGCAGCGCCACGCGCCGGATGGAGCCGCGGCACTCGTCCGGCAGCGCCACGCGCACCACCGCTGCGCCGCGCGCCTGCTGCGACGACGAGCCGCGCCGCCACTGCACGTATGCATACATGTACGTACAATGTTACATGTGAGGTAAACGCTCAATGTTACACGTGGCGTACCTAAACGCTAAATGTTTTCTTTTATAGGATAAGGGTGACAAACGAGCGCACAGTCCACCTAATGGTAAGTGGATGCTGTGGCCCATAGACATCTACAATTAACCTCGGTTAAGGGTGTGTTCCGAATCGTTTTCAGTATACTGCCGAATACAAATGACGTCATCAATTGACACTATATTTTCGGCACGCCAGTGTGCCGCCGCCATATTGTGTCGGATATTCGGCCATAATAAAACAATTTTTAATTGGGTGTGCACTGAATGAAGCATGCCAGAATTTGTTTTTATTTATTCAAATACAAAAATTATACAATAATTGTTGGTATTTCTATTAGGAGGATATAATGATTTTTGGAGCACAAAATGACAAAATAATCGCCAACACTTTTCCAATATGGCGCAAATGTATGACGTCATATACTGTCCTATGTTTTAGAACGAATCACCAGTATAGCGTCGATTCATGGCGTCATTTGCATTGGACAGTACACTGGGTTCTATTTTGGAACATACCCTAAGAATCAAAATGTAGATGCGTTGTCACCGTTAAGGACTAAGATGGAATGCCTCGATTCCAGTAAAACGGGTCTCCGGTTCATTTGAAGTTTACAGTTTAGTTACATATGAAGCTACGTTCAATGTTGGACGTGAAGTATACGTGCAATGTTAGAAACGAGATTTACTTCAATGTTAGATTCGAGGTTTACATAAATGTTAGAGATGTGGTATACGTTAAATGTTAGAGATGAGGTATATATTAAATGTTAAAGATGAAGTAATGTTTAATGTCTGAGATGAGGTACATGTTCAATGTTAGGTAAAGTGAATGTTCAATGTTAAGGGTGAGATAAATGTATAATGTGAAAGTTTAGGTGAATCTCTAATGAGATTATGATATACTGTTATTAAACAACACTTTAAAGGATATACACTCGGCGTCAAAAAAATCGCACATCTGAAAAAAAATTTAAATACTATTTTAACACAACAGGCAATGGCAATGATGACAATGGATTGAGGGTAATTAATCAAAGGTAATTTACATTGCAGTTCTGAATTTCAATTGAATTTTGACTTTTATAACCAGACGCAAAGAGACAATTAAAGAAAAAGACAGGGTATGTTTACAAATTTGGTCAAATTAATAATTTAAAAAAAAACTTAATAAGATACAAAAAAATTTGTTCTATTGTGGATGTGGAATGCAAAATGGTCTCTGTGTTAAACGTACTAAGACGTTTCCACTTTTTGTATTGCATTGATATTCAATATACAGTTTCAAAATTATATGACAAGCTTATTCTATTGTGCAACTCTTCAGTGTTTTAGGTACGGGGAAATTGATTTTTATTGTATAACGCCTCATGGTTAAAAGTCAAATAAGGTAATATGCTCATACGTCCCACTGTTGGGAACAAGAAAGTCGTAAGACAAGCAATCATAAAAACGTCAAATTATAAAAAGGGCAGATCGTGTAAAAATTATTTGAGCTGTAGGTTACTGCATCACTAAACTAAGATAAAACCTTTTAGCTTTTTTTCTTATACATGTAACACATCATCGCTGATTTCTCGTGATTTTTGCGACGGTTAGACTTATGTCGTCTTAATTTAACGTGAGAAGAGATGCTTAGGTTTGTGGGTTGTTATTGGAGTCAAGATGAAACTACTGATTATAACTTATATTATTATATTGACTTTTAACATCTAACTAACTCAATTTACAGATTATGGGCATGCAACAGGGCTACAGGAGATGTAGCCGAACGTGAGCGAGGAAGGTGTCACTATTAAAAGATACGTATTCTGCAAAAAGCTAATTACAGCCTCAAATTACATATCGCCAGCTGGTAGAAACTCTAATGCCAGCACCAAGTGCTTATCAATGACCAAGCAAATGCCGAAGATATAGATATAGATATATAAAGTCAATCCTCACGCACGCAAACCCCTTAGAGATTTGTGGGCTACTAAACATTTGCGCTGGACCGACGTGAATGTGGATTTCCGACTCCTTAAATCGAGATGAAATCTGAAGCGCCACTTTTATAGAAGAGCGGGTCGCCAGAGTGTACTCCAAAATCTTTAAACTGGTTCATCCTTACCAAAGACGGAACGATCAAGATGTGGGCTGAAATTTGTCCAGGTGGAAGAATTTAATACAAGGAAACTTAAATGCGGAACAAAACGATTTTCTGCATTTGGGCAGGTACAACGTTTTTACTTTTATCATCTACTAGTGTGAGCCAATTTATCATAGTCCTCTGAATAATAAATAAAATATCATCTCTAAAGTAACCTCTGAAGTAACAACGCATCTTTGTTCTTATCTGAAGTTGTTCGCAGATGTGTATGTACTGTAGTGTCCACTCACCATAAGGTGGATTGTCAATTGCTTTGTCACTCTTTTTCTTCTTAATCAGGAAGTTAAAGGCCAAAGCATGTCATTGACCTCTCCTATTGTAGGAAGGGTTCGCCTTAATCATTACGACTGACGATCGCAGTATAAGACGTCTCACACCTTTGACGCGGGTCCCAGTCGCTTGTCTAGGTTTGTCATTTTTATATCATAAAAATGTAGAGGAATGAAATATATATTATTTTAAGTCGCGGATTCGAATCCGCTAGTCGACTACTGGCGTGAACCACTCGTAACACAAGCAATTTAAGCTTACCACGAGTGGGGGGAATATTAGTAATGTTTATAGCATTGTTAATATTCTTTAAAAAAATCCGACGGTCATACTTACAGGAGCAGAACTATCGGGCGCCGGTTCGGGAGCGAGTCTCTTCAGCACCGCAACTGCTGAGAACAGCGCGGTGAGGTAGTACCCGCCCTCTCCTGCCAGCAGTGCAGGTGGAAGTAGTCCCGCCATAAGCTCGGCTTCTAGCTCCGCGCAAACCAACCGGCATCGGGCCACCGTCCACGCCAATACTGGTAACAAGTCATCGGCCCCTAAGGTCCGTTCGCCGCGCATCTGGGGAAACAATTTCTATTTCTTTAAATAATTTAAACGGAAACAATTGAACTGGAACAAAAATAATTTTAAAACAATAACCAAAGAGATATATATCGGTATATGAGTTTTTTAATTTTCAATGTTAATAGTGGAATTACGAATTTTACTTTATTTTGAATAATATTTGCTACGTTTTTTAAAGTCAATTTTAGTAGTCAAGTTTAGGAAATGTTTATTGAAGATGTATGAAATTAAATGCTTGACATCGTTCGTAACAGTTGAAAAATATGAAGGTAATAAACACTAAATTTTAAGCATAATAAATGGATTTTTTAATATAGTAATATATGGGACAAAAACATTTTTTTTTACTTGGGCTATAATTTACTTGTAATTAGGATTATTTACGTAAGTACTTAGAATATATTTACGAAATAAAACTCAATTAATGAATAGAAAATCCCAATTGAAAATTTAAATTATTGAAGGCTTTAATAAATCTTTAGCTATTATTTTCGCTTTCATCATCATGTAATGTATTGTTTACCGGCACGAGGCTGCCACTTGAGAAACTTTCTTCCCTATCGAATGTCAGTTCTTTGAGTTATATGGCCGACACTTTTCTTTACAGGCGTATATTGAAGAAATTGACTGCCTCGATGGTCTAGCGGTTGTAGTAGTGCGACTGCTGATGAGGTCCTGGGTTAGAGTCCCGGATGGGGTCAAAAAATCTATTATTGAGTTTTTCTGTCAAGAAATTCTCAGTAACTGCCCGGAGTCAGGAAGTTGACGGTGTCTCACCCCCGTGCCTCAGAAGGCACGTAAAGCCGTTGGCCCTGCGCCTGATCTCTCTCCGGCCGTGTCGGTTTACCTTCCCATCGGATTATGGAAGTGATTGAATGGAGAGTGCACTTGTGCTTGCCCATACACTTGGTCACTATAATCCTATCCTGCGCCGATGGCTAGCCTCTGTTGAGGCAGGCCGCCGTGGCTGAAATTCGGTCTGGAGGACATTATTATTATATAGAAAAATTACAATTTTGTTCTCATACAATTTCTATACAATGTTTTGTTTTGACAGGACGTAAAAGTATATCAGGTACCCTATTAAGATTTATATATCTTATCAACGTACCGCATTAAACATCACAGATATAGCAGCCAGAAGGTTTTCTAGTTTGTCCAGCGGCGAGTCAGCTTCTTGCATTTTAAGGAAATGTTTTGAGATCACTGCTAAGACAGCTGACGAGGGCACCTTCGTAGATTCCTGATAACACACAAATAAAAATAATAGGCAAGATTTCCTATCGGAGTTTTATATTTTTTCATTAAGCTTAAGGACTAATATAAAGTTAATGTTACAGCCTATATACGTCCCACTGCTGGGCACAAGCCTCCTATCATTTCTGAGAAGGTTTAAGGGCAAGGAATAGGTCTAATGAAGTAATTAGTTTTATTTTTCAAACTTATTTCTATTATATTTTTCATAGAACAATTTATGGTGGATAGTGGATGCCGTAACCCATAGACATCATGTAGATGCGATAAGATCCTTGAGGTATCAGATGAAATACCTCGTTACCGGTAAAAACTGTCGGGTACTAGTCGCTCGTACGAAACAGAGCAGATTGACACTGCATTATGCCTCTATTTCACGCTAATATTTTGTGCGAGCGTGGTCGTTCCCAGGTGGAGCTATCCCATTCGTACCGAAGCCTTATACGCTACAGCGTGAATCTTCCACTTATCTATGATATGTCTGCGTTTGGCAGAAAAAAGCGCTAAGAAGCGCTTGTAAGCAAAATGGCGATCGTAAGCGGTACGCGCTGTCAAATGGTAAATACATATAAATAGGACACTAAGTTAGCTTTAACCGGGGAACCTAACCTAATTTAAATATATGTTTATAAAATATCAATCATGAATTTTTAATAACATGTATAACATGTTTATTCATGTCATTATATTATTTGAAACTAATTACACAAAACAACTTATAAACTCTACTTCAAAACAAACAAAATAAATAAGCAAAATGGCGGATTGTGTCAGCGCTACTGAAGTTAGCAAACATGAGCTGGCCGAAAACTGTATAGTTTCGCCATTTTGCTTACAAGCGCTTCCTAGCGCTTTTTTCTGCCAAACGCGGGTAATGATTCGTAGCATGTTTCCTCGATGAAAATTAGCAGTGTATACGACCTACAGATAACTTGCGATACGTTGCAATCAGTTAAAAAAAGGAAAATTAAGTTGGTATGTCACCTTAACGCCGAGTTGTAGAGGCGTGGCGTGCTGCGCTCTTTCGATGGCGGCGTGCAGACGGCGTAGGTCTGGCGCGTGCCACGAAGCCAGCAGCGAGTACAGCCGCCCGCGCAGCGGACGCACCACCAGCCGGTGCATCACGCCCTCCAGTATCGCGTCCAGGTTCAAGAATTCCGTCGGTTTTAGCTATAGACAAGCAACCATATATGTACGACAACCAAACAGATATTATTCATATTTTTCTACGTTTCACCAACATTATCGCCATTGCATTATATCACATATTTTTAATTAGTATTGGAAATAGACGGGGCTGACGCATTCACTTGACATGGATAAACTCACCACGCTTAAATTATGGATTATGTGGAAAAAGTGTGAGCCTATACCCCTACTGTACCCCAATTTTTGGAAAGCGATAGTGATTTTTGAATACATTTCCTGTTAAGTCAGTCATGAGAACTTTATCTGGTAATAAGCAGAATGTAACCTCGAACAGTTGAAGTTATCATTTGAGTAATAAAGTTGGTAATATTTCTCTCAGTTATAATTTCTTAAAATTGATATTTAACATGATTAATGTTCCAGTTTGTCACTCCAAGTAAACTTAAAATCCTTGTATAAGGTGTGATTCAGCATCATTGAAACAGATAATTTAACATCTTTAGGAATCTGCGAAATTCTGATTAAGCATATATTGTCGACGTGAGAAAAGAAAATAAACAACATAATGACTGATTTCTTTTTATAAGTCACAACTTACTTTTAGTCTTTCTTTTTCAACTTCTTTCTCAAATTCTCTCTCTCCATGCTTAACAAGATAATTCTTCATGCCCGACATGAATTGTCTTATATTCCGCATCATCACCTGCAAGTAAAATGTTTTAATAAATCATAGCTTCAAGGACAGAATAGAAAAACGTAGCCCGAAAAATATTATTTTATAACAACGAAGTAAAACGATGAAACAAAACAAGATCGTTACCTGTGGGCAGGTTTCCTTCGAGTCTAGGGTACAAGCGATGAAATTGTCAACATTTTGGGCAAAAGTCGTGCTTTTGTCTTGCGCCAGGTGTAATGCGTACGCTCTTAAAGCTGCTCCAGTTCCCCGTGATGTGCGACCACCGCGGAGAGCCCGTACTCGACCCGCCGCTGCATAAAAATAATTGAACATTAGATATTTACGTACTACATTGGAATATCGTATTCTGTAATCTATTTGATTCTGTAGATTTCGTCAAAATTACACATATTAACACGGCTACATAATATTAATTCGTGAATGGAAAATTTTGTTCCCTTTTTAAGGATATTGCGTGCAAGGAGGGATGTGAGATTTGGCATAGTTAAAGTTTAAAAAAACTATTACATAAAAAACTATATACATTTATTAAATTAAATGAAACAAAATGTTCATTGTCTGCGTTCATACATGTCTAACATATTGTCTGTCTATATTTGCGTTCATACTGCCAATGTAGACACGTTTTAAAACTGCTATGTTTTCAAATGATTAGCGTTAAATTTAAATATTTTGTTATATTAGAGTACATCTAATATTGAGTTTACACAAGGATAATATTTGTATCCTTTTAAGATACAATCTAACATGCTCATGATTAGAGCTCGTAAATACTATATTTCATAATAAACGAGTAATATGTTATATATAACTGATGCTACATGTAAATGTAATGTTGATTACGTTATTTATTCTGATATGTGTTTATTTGCTTAGAAATAAACAATATGTCTACTAATTTTCTAAAAATCCTCGTCATCAACTTTCTATTATCATTTTTTTTAAATATTTATTGATAAGGGACAGAAAAGGAATTCGTTATTAGACATGGGACGAGTACTCGGTTTGGATTCGGTACTCGCCGGATTCGGCCTTTTTTTAGGGTTCGGCCGAACACCGAGTATTATCGGCCGAGTACCGAGTACTCGGCCTTAATTGTATTCCAGAGAAAAATAAAAAAATAAGACACATTAAAACATCAGGAACATGGGAAATATTGAGAACGTACATAAGAATCTATAATAAAAATTATTATTACTAATATTTAAAATTTAAATACACAAACAGTTTTTCCGACCTATTTGGGTCTAGTTTGCTCCTTTTTGCTTCATAAACTAAGCCCGCCTCTGAAAATAGCCGTTCACTGTAAACTGAACTGGCGAGTGTTGATAAGTATTGAGCCGCAACTTTTCCCAAGATGGGGTAATAGCCTTTATTAGAAACCCACCATTTATATGGATTTACATCTCTTGCGGTTCTTGGTATGTACGCTTATGTAATGATCTAACTCTACTGCAGAGGATTTCTTAGGATCATTAGGTTGGTAACCGGTTAATGCGTCAGCAGCTTTTTTCTTCTTCGGAAGAATGTTTGAATGAATTTGTTTATGTGATTCCTAACATCGATAATTTTTCTAGATATTTTATGATAAATCCATTTCTATAAGCAGCATATTTTAAAGCCGTGTATTCGGCCGAGTACTCGGCCAAATCTAGGCCGAGTGCTCGGTCACCGAGTAGCGAATCACTACTCGTTCCATGTCTATTCGTTATTATATTTCGGGTCGTTTTACGACTTAATTTAAGGTATTCCATTCATTTTCAATGTATATTCATTACTCTTTCAAAATTCTCTTATGGCTCTTAAATATTGACAAGTAACTAAACTATAAAACAGAGAAGAAATAAATGAAAGCAAAAAATGAAAACATTACCTACACAGATACAATTGAGTAAAATTGAAATTATCTATTTTCGTCTGGTTTGTTGATTCAGTCGCTGTAGACTTCAGACAAGCTTTAACTTTTTTACATAAATACTTCCAAATATATCTAATTGTATTCAGTAATCTATAAAAAGGGTTTTTGAGTCGTACAGTTTCACCGTTGTCTTCAGGGCACAATTCACTGCAATGACAACTTGGAGATTTTGCTACAACTACTATTTGCATTTTATTAGAGCTTCTTTCGGCTAACACCTTGCATAAATTCATTAGCGATTCCTTTTTCGCCAAGTGCTGTTGAAAACCTGGTTCTAACAGCTTTTCTTTAGTCACAAAAACCCAATCACTCTCCAAGACGAATTCGGTAAGATTATCACATCTGAAATTCTTGATCGTCGACAATGCGTACACTTCTTCATTCGACAACCTAGCAGACACCTCTGAAATCTGAGGTTCCCTCGGCAATGGAGCCGACACCTCTGGAACTCGAGGAATCTGCGGTATCGAACTTTGATCGACATTTTTCCAAAATTTAAACGGTTTCGACGTTTTCTTTTCATTCGCTTTCGCGCACTTTCCTAAGAACAACTTTTTGAACCAGTTCATGGCTGATCGCCTTGCGGTTTTTTCCCGCGTGCACAAAAGATTTGAAACGGTGATTTCTCATTCACACAACGTAAGTCACTTCGTGTCTAAGAACGACTGACTGTGTTTTCTATTCTTCGGCACGTGCAGACCTTTACCCTTTAACAACTATTAATTTATTTACTCAGCTAATGTTGTTATTGATAACATTTGCACGATACCATTGTTCGTGCTCCACTAAATTAATTAACTTCATAATTATTCGTAATGATTCATTATACCTACAACGTTACTTTATCATACATGCAACTGTAATGTGGACAAGCGTCAATGTGTAAAATATGTATAAGCATTTATTTATATATTATGAGATCATTGGCCATAAATAATTTTCATTACTACATTTATATACTATACTTTTTATTGCTGTCAAGGAGCAACGTATATGAAGACAGCGGTTCGTATTTTACGATGCTATATTTACTACGAGATAATGCACAGTGCATACTAACTTGTGTATATTTTAGCGTATGATAGATTTTCTTATGCTTTGCAATTTGAAACGTTAAGGGGAAATATAACCTCAAATGGCTTAGCAAGATCCTCCGTTATGCCGAAAATATTGCAGCATTAATTTTGAAATAAATATATGGTAAAGTTGAGGATTAATGTTAAGGACTATGTTAGACGAAAACACGATTTCGTAAATTTTTCTCGATAGAAAAAAATCCAAATTTACCTCCAAAATAAACAATAAACCGCTGTTACTCATAAAATACTTTAAATAAGATCATGAAACTTTGCATACTAACTGAACTAACTATAAAACAGTGCTTATGATAATTACTTTTTTAAAATACCATTATTTTCACTGTAAAAAGAAATTACCTAAACTTATCGGCTTCTTGAAGCTTGGTTCCTGCCGCCCGGTCAGTTTCGCTTCGGCCTTTGAAGGGGGAGGTTGTGTCGCTTACGATCAGAATACACATTACGCAACAGGACGACGTAAAATTAAAATGGGAAATAACCGTAATAAAAATAAGAAGCGACTAGGTTGGCGTTAAGAAACAGGCATAAATATGATAAACATAATGAAATACGTTTTACGTGGTAGAGCCATGCTGCAGTTATATTAGTAGTATAGTTGTAGCACGAATGGGTCGGCTCGACCGGGGAAGGACCACGCTCCCACAGAATACCAGCGTGAAATAGTAGCTTAATGCTGCTGTATTTCGTATGGTGAGTGCAGAGAACCGGCGACCCTTTTTACTGGAAACGAGGCATTCCATCTTAGTCCTCACGAGTGACAACGCATCTGCATTTTGATTCGTAATCGAGGATAGATGTAGATGTCTATGGGCCACAGCAACCACTTACCATCAGGTGGACTGTGTGCTTGTTTGTCACCCTATCCTATAAAAAAAATAAGTATCTAACGACCTATCTACTTACAGTATTGGTGATTACAAACATGTCGGTACATAGCATACGACGCGCGGGGAAGTGGGGGCGAAATTAGAATTTGAGTTGACTTACTATATCCTCATAATAAAGAGAAGGGAGCCACAAGCGTCAAGATAATATATTATACTTATTAATAGAAGTTTAAAAATAAAATAGATCTACTTAATAGGTCTTATATCAAAAAGAAATTGTTGTATATCGTGTAAAAAACCTTCGGATGACCCTCTATCGGCAGCCACTGCCAAATTGGACTAAACTGATGTAATGTAAAGTGATTAACATTCTAGACGGAGTTCTTATATCCATATTTTAAATCTTAATATCAATCTGCACCTACTGGATTGCCTGGCGTGGAATATTTCTCTAATAAAGCGGATTAAAGAATATTCCATGCCAGCTTAATGTTAAATATTGTAAAGATTTGTAGAAACAATTAGCCGTGTTAAACCTTATCTAGGACCGATGCAGATGCACAGGTAAAACCTTTTGCTAGCATCATAAACGTAGCGGAGTAAAAGTCTAAAGTCATAACTATCTTTATTCCAACAAAAGATTCAAATGGTGTGTATTCAAATAGTAAAAAAGAACTCAAATTCAGATTTTTATTTTTTACAAACCTTGTCTGCTACAAATATTGCCGAAAAAAAAAATGTAAATTGGCCTACGGGTAACGGAGGAGATAGATTTCAAAGAATCGTTTTCTTGCGCCATGGGAGCTCCGCTCCAATTATTAGATTACACACTTTTTAACGTCCTTATTCACAGGTATTTCAGTGTTAATGGGTCTTCCATTGTTGAATAAATAGTTCCGACTATCGTCGTTGATAATGATAATAATTCAGTAATGACAGTTAATTATCGATCTGTAAACTGAGCTAAAAAACGTTTGGTTGGCTTTACGACAAAACTAGACATTATCAAATTCTAAGCTTATATATCAACTCATTGACACCTAATATTTATGTAGGCCGTGTTCCGATATACACTGCGAGCAATGCTCAGTACTCATAATGGTGAAAAATTCGTTCTGTTATGGACTGCCAGTATAATGCCGCAGTACTCTATGGCGATGGCGTCAAAAATCGATGCCCTTTTTATACTGTGAGCACTGGCATTTTCGAGGTAAGGTGATCTCAGTAATTTGATTAATTAATATTGGTATTCAAATAATCACGGACATTAAGTTTTAAAACCAACAACATTCCAATAATAAATTTTCTTGTTGAACAGAATACGTATACATGATAAATATTTCCATTTGAAAATAGTGTCAAAAAATGGGGATGACAGTATATTGGATTGCGTTCCATTTTAAACAGTAACCTGTATAGAAAACTAACAAAGGGGCGGCCCCATAGTATACTGAATTGACGTCACATCTTACATTGTTATATATTACACATACTTACACAGTGTATATAGAGCCGTGGTAGCTCAGATGGTTAACGCTCACTGTAAATATAACAGAACGCGAGTAACCCGGGTTCGATCCCCGCCGGCACCAATGAAATTGTTAATTGCAATTTTAAGTGCTGATTTACCACGTGCTCGGCGGTGAAGGAAAACATCGTGAGGAAACCTGCATGTCCGAGGAATAAGAATAAAAAATATTTCGAAGACATGTGAAGTTCGCCAACACGCACTGGGGCAGCGCGGCGGACACTTCCTTGCCCTAAAACCCTCTCAGAAATGAGGGGAGGCCTAGGCTATAACTTTACTTTACTTTTTACGGTGTATATTGGAACACGCCTGTAATCATGGCTCCATCATCACTCCTTCATGTCAGTCTGGTTTATATACGATATGGTATACCGCCATCTATCGGGGTCTTGAGGTCACTTTGTTCTTTTCGTGGTATTTTCCTTTTATTCCTTGAAGTGACAGCGAAAGAGAATTCATTATCTCATTTCGACGACGCAATAAATTAAATTGTTCGTTAATATGTTTCATTTAGAATCTTGGAAGCATAAATTAATATTTTTCTACAAATTCTGTTACAGAAAACGTTAGGTTTTATTCACCAGTAACCTATATTGTTTATAAGTTAATTAAAAATGTTAACGCAGACAGTGGTGCTATAAATTGCAATGACGCATTTAACAGATATTAAAAACAGCATTTTTTTTTAAATTAGGGTGTCAAGCGAGCACAAACTTGTCCTGATGGTAAGTGACTACTATGGCCCGTAGACATCAAAATGATATATCCCTGAGGATAAAAAGGACCTACGATTCTCCTCATTCACTACGAAACACGGCAGCATTATTCAGATGCTTCACGCTGGTATTCTATGAGTGTGAATGCGGGTCGAGCCGACCCATTCATGGTGCAGCCATAATACCTATAGCTGCAGCGTAGCTCTACCACGTGTAAATTATATAGATATAAGTTTTTGATTTAATGACCTAACGATTTTTTGTAGGAAATTATACTAGCAGTACTATTAACAATACCAATATTCCCTTGAACCATTCCAGTTCAGCTTGGAATGCTTGTGTTAGGTGTGGTTCACGACAATAATGGCATATTCGACTTTAAACCATTAAGCTACGGTCGCTTTTGCTTTTGTACTACTACATACATTGCTCATTCGTTGACAAAACTATGTTTAAAAAATATTATGCGTGTATCTGGGTACACGCATACGTACGAAGTGAAACTTCTTTACGACATATTATTCTTCTTTTATTTTAAACTAGCGATCTGCCCAGGCTCGCTCGGGTGATATCTGGATTCTACAACAGCGCTACCTACCGGGTCCAACTATGCCTATAACCTTCTCGGAAGTACAAGCAATATGTCGACAAAGTCGCAATCTGATGAATTTTTACATATCAAATTTTACGTAAGTAAAACTATGAACTTAATGGCATTTGAAATCATGTTTCGTTTGTCACTCTAAGGCTATGTACAATGATATCAATTTATTTCTTAACGTTGCGGTGGAAATTTTTGTAGAGGAATCCAGTGTTATAAATAAATCCATACAGTTTTAAGTAAGCTTAAAACAATGCAGTAAAAGAATTTATAATATGGCGGTGACGCGTTTCTTGTATGAGTGTCATTTGTAGCGGTGGCAGCGTCAAAAACATCACAGATTCTGTACAATATATTTAATAGTTCTTCATCATCAGTTACCCTTTACACCCTATTAAAGTCTACTGATGAAAATGATATGATATATACGTATACATATATATATATATATATATATATATATATATATATATATATATATATATATATCATAGATTGCCCTCATAGGGCACCCATTATGGCCTACTTTGTACATTTAGGCAACTATGGCAAATTCGGGGGATATTTGCCATAGTTGCCACGCTTGGCAAGCGGGTAGGCAGCCGCAGATTTTATTTTTAGTCGTTATTAGGAAGACGCTGCTGCGATTTTCTGATAATTGATCATTATTCAATACGTAATTATAATTACCAAAATCTTAGTGCGTTGTATCAAAAACCCACAGACATCTAAACAATACCTTATTATAAAACCCAAACAGTACTTACCTAGTAAAGGGTCGAGGCGATCTCTGAAGCTTTTAGAGCGCGACGCAGCGGCCGGCCCTCTTCTTGGTATGGGAGACTCCCACTCACATGGTTCGTCCTTTGTAAGAAGAAAACTAAATCTATACGAAATTATTTATGATTCAAGCTAATCGAAAATATTACAAGTAATAATATTTTACATAAGAAATAGAGTAGAAAAATAACGTTTAATAAAAAGTCGTCGTCGGCAATGAATTCCAAAGTTCGGATAATGGTAATATTACGCAAATATTATAATGTACAATTATGTTATCAATTTATATGTAATTGACCAACATTAAATTGTGATAATGCGGCACGTATTACGATGCATGATATGACGCAGACTTTACTCGCACCGAACGTGTTTGATCAAGTAACCTCAAAAAGTTTAATCTTACGTTAAACATAATGTAACTTATGTAAGTTGCTATTGTTATTATCTCACCTAAAATATAAATTACAACAAACAAAATAAAAGAACAAAAAACCGGCCAAGAGCGTGTCGGGCCACGCTCAGTGTAGGGTTCCGTAGCTTAGTTAGGTACCTTTAAACTCATAAGTGAGTTATGAGTTTAAAGGTAAACTTATGAGTTTAAAGGTGGGTATCCATTATGTTCGCGCTCCAGCAGCGCTCTGCGTTGTTGCAGGAAACTGCTCCCGGTAGTGGGTACTGTTGTTTCCATCCAAGTTCAAAATGATTTTCCTAGAAAGTCCTTATAAAGTTCTACTTTTCAGATTTTTTTCATATTTTCTAAACTTATGGTTCAAAAGTTAGAGGGGGGGGGGGGGACACATTGTTTTTTACTTTTGGAGCGATTATTTCCGAAATTATTGACATTATCAAAAATGATTTTAGTAAACCCCTATTCATTTTTAAATACCTTTCCAACAATATATCACACGTTAGGGTTGAAATTAAAAAAAAAATCACTTCCCACTTCACATATAGGGGGGCTACCCTAATAAAACATTTTTTTCCACTTTGTCGGCGTGATTGATACACATATTGGTACCAAATTTCAGCTTTCTAGTGCCAACAGTCACAGAGATTAAGCGAGGACGGACAGACGGACAGACAGACATGGCGAAACTATAAGGGTTCCTAGTTGACTACGGAACCCTAAAAAGGAATTAAGCTCAGTACAAACCACGATCAAGGTTGATTATATATACGAGTTGAGATCTGAACGGGTAGGTACCAAAATCCAAAGAAGTTCCTTAAATAATAACTACAAGACATCGTTCATACGTTGTTTGATTGTTGATATGGAATTATTAAATTAGTAATTTTTAGTCAAAAAATCTTTTATTTGTTCCATTTTATACTACAATCAATTTAGTTCCTGGAATATTCTCAAAAGTAGTCTAACGTGGTTTAGAATATGGACTGTAAAACAATGATAATTTAATGTGTTCAAATAAAAAAATTAGGTAAGAAACGCATGAAACTTTTCAATTCTATACTTCTGACCAACAAAGGAAGGAGTACTAGGAGAAAAAATAATTTTCGTAACAAGTTGTGACAATATAATATCATTTATTAGGTGATTTCTGTATCTCGACAACAGAGAGATTGACGACTCCGTAGCGCAGTTGTTTAGCAATGAGTTGCTGCGCTGGGGGTCGCGGGTTCGAATCCCGCACGGAACAAGTATTTGTATGTTCTACAAATAGTTGCTCCGGGTCTGGATGTTTGTCCTTGTGCAATTTATGTTTGTAAATTGCCCCTACGATACAAGAGAAAATTTTAGGGTAGGGGTAACGTTTAAAAAAAAAGAAGAATAAAAAAGAAAGAAAAGACACTTACCGGGATTAACTATAGCTGAGATGATTCTTAGCCATAGTAATCATCTCATAATCATTGGGTGCGTTTGACAGAAAAAAGCGCTAGCAAGCGCTTGTAAGCAAAATGGCGATGTAGGTAAGCGCTGTAAATCGTAAGTAGCTATTTTCTCTAGGACACGAGGTTAGTTTTAACCGGGGCACCTAACCTAATTTAATATATGTTTGTAAAGTATTCATATTAAAAACTTACCAATTGATTTTTAATAACATGTATATGTCTTTCATGTCATTATAAGTATTACTTAAAACTAATGTTATATAACTCTACTTCAAAACAAACAATTATAGAAAATGGCGGATTGTGTCAGCGCTACTGAAGTAGCAATCGTGTCCTGGCCGAAAACTATTTTAGCGCTTGTAAGCGCTTGCTAGCGCTTTTTTCTGCCAAACGCACCCATTAACATACATAAAGATAAACAATTTAGTAACTTTGCAGCGTAGTTCATTTTACAAACACGGACAGGACAGAGCGGACGGACTCACACAATTATCTTAAGGGAAACACAATTTCAACAAATAGCTTAGACTGTACATATATGATATCATTTATTATAATCAGGTCACAACAATTATATGAGACATTTACATTAAATGTGCATTATCACCAATTTACATAATACAAACTCAGAGTATTGCGATAAGCATGTCTACTATGAGTTAATGGCGCTATGTTTTTGTGGTTTGTGAATTGTTTATATAATGTAGATCACGTTTATATTTTTCCTTATAACTTAAAAAAGTATTAACTTGGGTACCCGAATTGATTGCATTACTAAATAAGCTCAAGCTTAATTAAGCTTACAGCCGTTTAAAATATAGCGGCAATTTCTAAATTATAAAACGAGAAACTACGATAAAGATGTTTTATTGGCGCGTAAATGTGTTAGTGCGTAATTACACATGGTAGAGCCACGCTGCAGCTATATTATGGTTGTAGCAGGAATGGGTCGGCTCGACCGGGGAAGGACCACGCTCTCACAGAACACCAGCGTAAAATAGCAGCTTAATACTTCTGTGTTTCGTATGGTGAGTGTAGATATCTGGAGACCCTTTTTTACTGGAAACGAGAGATTCTATCTTGGTCCTTAGAGGTGACAACGAATATGCGTTTTGATTCTTAATCGAGGATAAATGTTGATACCTATGGGCCACAGGATTCACTTACCATCATGTGGACTTTATGCTCGTTTGTCACTTTTATTTTATTTAAAAATTTACGCACATCCATGAGCAGGTTATAATAAGAATCAATCTCTGATTATAACTGCCCGCTGATGCTCGTCGTAAGACATTCCAACTTAGTTTTCAAGTGTTGCAACCCATCTGCATTTTCTACCCTTTAACCTAAGGACAGGGAAAATGTGTTTTATTTTAATTGTTAATAGTGGTCATGATATTATCTATATTGAACCACCTGGCCTACATACTAGCAAGATAAAGGATAGATATAGTTGAACACATATTAAGTTAACAATATACTTACGATTTCATACGATTGATGTCCATTGCTGGGCGGTATAAGACCATCCCATTGCGAACTGTCCCACGGTTCTGAGAAGACTGTGCCGTCGTCACTTGCCTATTAAACATATAATAATTTTTTTTAATTGTGTTCTCATTTGTACCTGCGCAGTTATAATAAACAATACACTAACGTAAATTTGAAGATGGACTTACGTTATGTTACAGTACGACAGGCTAATTCGAAATGTCATACCTACATGACCTTACGATAAACTTTTAATTAACATAACATAAACACTCACGCCTGTCACCCAGAGGGGTAGGCAGAGACTACGGACTTCCATTTGGCACGATCCTGACATACCTCTTTCGCCTCCTTTACATCCATATATCTACGCATACATGTTCGTCGGTTAAGGGTACTTCTAACGTGGCCCATTTTCAAAATATCGTCAATTTGGTCGATAAACTTTTTCCTAGGGCGTCCCTTCCCGACTCGGCCGTTTACATCTGCCATATAAATTTGCTTTGTCACTCTTTCCTCATTCATTCTTTCTACATGACCAAACCACCGAAGCATTCCTTGCTTAATCCTGGTCACATCATCTTGCATACCACATTTATCTCTTATCACGCAATTTCTCACCCTGTCATTCAGATTCAAGCATATTCCTTAAAGACCGCATTTCTACAGCATTTATTCTACTTTCGTGCTTCTTCTGCCACACCCAGCTTTCACTACCATACATTAAAGTAGGGACTAACACAGCATTATGAATTACCATACGTGCCTTTTTTGACACATTCTGGTTCTTCATAACAGAGTGTAGTGCCCTATTCACTCTATTCTTTACTTATACTTATACTTTTAATTAACTTTAGAATTTTCTTATATACTAAATTATTTCGGAAAATGTGGTTTGTATAAATCTTAACTCTAACAATATAACAAACATCAGTTTCCACAACCACATAGGTGTCAAGAATCATAAAGACAATTAAGTATGTAAAATATTAATGTATGTAATATAAACACCTGTTCAGATAAAGGTCTCAGTTCATGCACGTTGTCGTAGCACGAAGCTCGTGGTGGTGATCGTACTTCTTCTGGTAATGCAACCGGTTCTGAGTTCAGTCTTAATTCGGGAAATCTATTCATAAAGCAAATAATTTTTAAGTATTGGTAAAGTTAATGAAACAATTTGTATTACATTGATTGTTTTTATGTTTCTGGTTGGTTTCTGGCTACGAAACAAAATAACTCAGCAGTTGGTAGCAGATAATTAGCAGTTTTAATTATTTAATGGCATATAGTACCTATTGTGTTAGGTATCAAAAGATATCTATTCTCTTACACAAACGGGGGATGTATTTGTATCCTAAAAGTCAGGGGTTAGAATTTTAGACATTAGATTTTGTAAAAGTGGGAAGGAAAAAAGCAAAAAATATGGATTGAAATAGTAACAATTTAATTATTAACAGATAAATTCAAAATTCGAGCTATATAGCCGGCCCATTGCCCTTTAGCTCGCCAATCCGTTGGGCTATGTCAGTCATTCTGGTTCTACTACGGATATCCTCATTGCTAAGTTTATCACCTAAAAAAAACTTCAAGCATAGCCCTCTCCATAGCTCGCCGAGCGACCTTGAACTCGTAGAACTGACAACCGATTGGGGAAAAAGGTTCTGGAGTTGCAGCGATGTACCGGCAAAGTGTATGGCGAACCCCTCTGAATGGATTGACGACCTGGTCCTGGTAAAATATGTAGGAAGTCGATGGATGCGGGAGGCTCAGGACCGTGCTTTGTGGCGTTCTCCATGGGGAGTTTTATGTTAATGATAATGATGATGAATTTGAAAATTGATACTAATTTCATACATAAACGTGTCAAAGGCATGTATTTTATGTAACTCTGTAATAAAGTCAAATTTGCTGTTACTTTTAAAAAACTTACTTCTGTGCGACAACTTGATGCACAGTGAGATGTTGTGCGTTATCGTCTACTCCGCTGAGTCTGGTTTCTTGTTCGGCCAGCGATGGAAAAGTACCATTTTCACTGTTCGAGCCCTCGTCATTTTTATCTGTAGATAATGATTGACTTTTTTAAATGTAACATAATATCATAAGGTGCCAAAGTATATTTATTTTTATTTCAGCACCTATTACTTCTCTATTACACCTTGGAGCAAAGGTTCTGTGCAAAATAATTTCAAAGACATCACTGTTTATACTCGTAATATACAAAACAGTGCTGAAAACCTACATATTTGAATAAAAGTTCGCAACAAGCTGCGTACAACAGTATGGCCCTTCATATATACAAAATCTAAAACTTTATAGTGATTATTACATTAAGGGCATAACAGCCTATTAAAGATTTTCAAGATTATCAATAAAATATACGTTTATACGTACTGATAAACTGCCAACTGGAATCAACGGCCCAGGGTTGCTCAGTTTTTCCAGTAGGTGGTTTATTATTGATCCGTGGTGGCTCCACAGGGCGCATTTTAGGTTTGTTGCGAAGCGACACCAGATTGTCCACCGAAGATGATGTATTTGGTGACGAGGCTGTGAAGGAAATTTTGAATTGTTATTTTTAACATTTGCTAACATAATAAAATCGGTTTTTTCGCTTTGTATGTAAATATCTCATTTGCAATGGGTTTTTTGCTATTTGTATTAATTATCAATATTGTAGAAGTAAAATACAAAATTGTCTACAATTTTTGTTTAACAGTTTTTATAAGGTGAACCGTTTTCGAGATAGAACGCGGAGAGCGTATATCGAATAGAAACAAGTCCGTATTAGCAGTCAAGTGACATGCGACGGATTATCAAAAATATCGTCTTAAGAGGCGACTTTTGGATCACTGAACAAGCGTAGAAATTTCACTCATACTTTTACTAAATTTAAACCATAGGACGATTCAAAATATATGTGGCTCCGTCTAGTTAATAGCGGACGTAGAAATAAACAATGAGCTACAAAGCCAAAAACAGTTTATTTATAGTTACATGATTTCTTGAAAAAGACATAACTAAAAGATTCTTTCATCAATTTATTTCAATGATAGTGATCTTCTTTACTAAATGGTTGATTTAGGTTAATTCGGATAGTTCCGCTCCGAACTTCAATAAACGTAAGTGTAAATAATTTAAAAAGTATTTTAATAACAATAAATATTTATAAATTAACATAAAATCCGATCGCTAAATTAATTAGAAATACTAAATTCTTGTTTAGCTTTACGATGTTTCAATAAGGACTTTTAACCTTACACTCACTAGATGTCGCTAGGCGGAAGTGAACTATTTGTCACGCGGTTCACACATTGTCATTATCGTTAAAAAAATTGAAACCTTATCAGTTTTAGTGGGTTTTTACACATTTTACTTTTTTATAATTCTTTTACTTTAAGGATTACCTGTAGTTTTGATAAATTAATTTCGAATGATATATGTTCCACGTCAAGCCAACATAAGTATTTACAGACCTACAGCTGGGTATCTCGAATTCCGAGGTGAACTTACTATAATGACTGGACTATAACGTGAATAAGTGACTAATAATCAAAATATTATTTACTTAGATAACTCTTGGTAGCATAGGGGCTGCGTGCTCGCCTGTAATTTTTTAATGCGAGAGTATCTATTCGATCCCCGCCAGCACTGATTTACAAAGCGCTTGGCGGTGCAAATTCGTGGGGGAAAACTCCATGTTTTATATAGGACAAGCACATAGGACTTTTCCACGCCCCAAAAACTTTGCATGTAAATTACACTCAGGTAAATTAAAGAAGGCTTATACCCCCATAGGAATTATTTCACATTCAGTAAATGAAATTTATTAATTGAGACATTCCGGCATCGCGTACAGACACGTTTGTATTCTAAATATTTATTCTGAAATTAATAAGTGATCATTGACTATACATATTAATACTTACGTGACAGTTCTTCAATACTATGCATATCCCTAAGAGGATAGTACGGATGATTCTGGTTAGGTGGTTCCGAATATCTCTGTGACAGGCTAACACCTACTCTTAAAAGTTTTCTTCGTTGCACTGGCGGAAGGACAGCCTACGAAAAATTGATATAGTATGGGTTATATTCTCTTTATTGATATCACGAAGTTTGAAAACAATAAGGTTAATATTGAATACAAGAAATCTCTTTCGAATTTGGTTAATTAATATTACTCAGTTTATGAGTAAATAAGATGATACATTCCGTTTCAATATTATATCTTTCTTAGTAGGTAGTGCAATGACTTTTACTTCATATATAAAATTTATTAGGTAATAACTTGATCACTGCGCCACCTTTAAGAACTAGATTTCGTAATATACTTTTTTATATAGGATAGTGTGACAAACGAACACACAGTCCACCTGATGGTAAGTGGTTGCTGCGACCCATAGAGATCTAAATCTATCCTCGATTAAATAATCAAAATGCAGACGCGTTGGCACCCGTGAGGACTAAGATGGAATGCCTCGTTTCCAGTAAAAGAGGTCTCCGGTTCTCTACACTCACCATACGAAACACAGTAGCATATTCAAATATGTCCAAGTCGAAATCTACGCGATCGCTTTGGAACGGCGTAATATTGACGCACACTACCATGTTATCTCTGTGTGTGTGTCAGGGCGAGCGCGAGGCTAGTTGCCTTTATTAGTTGCACGAGTCATTTTGATACTACTGGAACTAAAAGAATAAGAAAATAATTTCCACAAAATAGCTTATATAGTGTATAGAAATCAGAGGCTAATATGTGGAAGTTGTTTTATTCTTTTAGTAAATTAAAGTCGGCTTTATATTTTCACCCTATTGAGTACATTATACGTTCTAATTGAAAAATATGTGTTATAATATACAATATATACCATTTGATACACTTTTATTCTGTTTCATAATGTAAACATAATTCATCAAACTAACAATTTCATTAGTGTCGGCAGGGATCGAACCCGGATTGCTCGCGTTTACGGCAAGCGCTTCGCCCTTGAGCTACTCTACTCAAGCAAGGCTCATATCTTTTTATGTCTATTTAATCATAACGTTATCTCCACACTAGGAATTTTTCCTAAGTACATAGTGGGGTCAGTTTAAATACATTAATTTCACAAGGACAAACATCCAGAACCGGAACAATTATTTGTAGATTATATAAATTTTTGTTCCGTGTGGGATTCGAACTCGCGGCGCTCAGCCGCTACAACTCATTACGAAGTCACTCCGCCACGGAGCCAAAGGTGAAAGCCACAGAAATCTAAATATTTAGATTTCTGTGGTGAAAGCCAACGATTTTGTATTTTTACTAGATCCGAATCGCTTACGTTTATTAGCCATTTCTAAAAATATATGTATGAAATGTAACTTTTCCACCATTACATCATTCAATATTTAAATATTACCATTATCATAAACATATTTCTTATTATACATATCGCTTATAAAAGTCTCAATCGTTTAAAATGCTCGATGGTGCTATAGGTAGCTAGTTATAGTATAGTGTAGTTTAGCCCTATCGGTGTATCAACGCGATCGCGCGGTGGCGGTGAGAAAAAGTGATACGTCTTATCGTTGGGATTACCCGGAGCGTACTGAATAGGACGGCGTCTGCGCGTGATGATTTATAGTATTTTTAAAATAATTATATAAAATAACTGACAAAATAAAACGAGCTAAAACTTTTTTGTTTAAAACTTAAAATTTAACATTACATGTATTTTGATAAAATAATTAAAATAGATATGTTTATAACCAAATACACGGAAAAAAATACATTGAGGTAGACAGTTTTGGTGATTTTATAATATTGTTTTATAATATTAAATCGAAATATTTTCGTAATTTAGGTTTTGCTATACACTAAAAGACTATATATTCCATTATAATAACGCTTAAAATAAGGTATTTTAGCTTATAATAATGGTTGTATTCAACCTGAAAGATAACTCTGACTCATATTTTTGTAAAACACTGTGAAGGGATTGTCTTTGCTCTAAAAAACCGTCATTAAAAACTATGATTTTGCATTGCAATGCACTAAATAAAGACTTCATCTTTCTAAAGCCCTAATTTTCTGCAAATAATCTGCTCACATCGTTACCATATCGCCCTTGGAAAAACCCTGAAACATGTAGTTTTCGACGCGAAACGCATAAGCTACTATTTTACGCTGTTATTCTGTGAGAGCGTGGTCCTTCCCCGGTCGAGGCGACCCATTCGTGCTACAACTATACTACTAATATAACTGCAGCAAGGCTCTACCACTTAAAACCAAACTTACTTCTTTCAATGCATCAACAGGATCCGCATAAAATGGACTTCCGGTGTTGTCTTTTTCAGAATCATCAGCGATCGCATCCTTCGTGCAATCATCTTCTAATTTGATAGTTTCCATACTTTCAATCCTATAATTCTCTCTATGTTTAAGTGCTGCTTCAATTTCTTCAGTCAATTTCTTATTCATGTTTAAAGCAATATTTAGTTTGTCTGGTCTTTTAGGTACAATCTCTCCTTTGCTGTTGGTCGTTGCTATTATTTCAGTAGATCCATTAAAACTTTTCTTCAGTGGGCTATCAGAAAGATTTTTCTTTTCGCTTAGACTTTCTGATGAATCCATTATATGCACGTTTTCTTTTTCCAATATCGACTGAGTACTTTTGGCTGTAGTCAATTTTGCTATAAATAATAAAAATTTATAAAATTTCTGTTGCTTTCGGTGTGTTTAAATTAGTTATTTAGGCATCTACATCTATATTTCAAAGGTAAATTATGTAGAATTTTCATTAAAACAAGTCATAAAAATTTACTAATGGTTTGGGAAAACAGCTACAGCTGTAATTGCCAGAGAGCATTCATTCCTCAGAAGTGTGCTATTAGAACTATTTTTAGGATCTCATAACGTGAGTCATGCAAAGAACACTTTAAAAAATTGGGCTTATTAACAATACCAAGTTAATATATTTTATTCATCCTAAGCTACTTGGCTAAGTATATACAACAATATGAAACGCAAAAGGAAAGGGAGTTTAGAGAGAGCACATGTAGAAAGGTAATAAAAAATAGTATCATTCCAAAATTGAAAATAGTAAAACATTGTCCAAATTATCAAGCAGTTGAGTTATTTAATAAGTTACCTACCGACTTAAAGGAATTAATTTACAACATATATTTATTTATAGGAATATTCAAAGCTTTCTTGTTAGAAAAATGTTTATATTTAGTGTCTGAATTGGTATTAAATGAGGATGAATAAATAATATCAATTATTTCAGATATAAGATGACGCTTTGACTTTATATCCCTAGAAATTGCTTTTATGACCTTCATAGTATTAATTACTTTTATTGACATATTGAACTGAATTTTATTTTTATTAATGGTTTTATATTTACTTATACATGTTATATTATTGTACTTCGACAATTATTAATAATGAGTTGTGTTATAATTGAAAATTATAAATGATATTATATTCTATGAATTTAGTTTGGTTTTAACGCAAATTCTAACTAGTTATGTAATCAATATTTATATGTAAATATATTATGTGTAATTAATTTCAAATACAATGCAAATTGTTTTATAAATAAATAAAATAAATAAATAAACTTACGCAGTGTATCTGGTAAAAGATCAGGTCTCTTGCTCTTCATTATACCGTTGTTTACATTGTTATCGTTTTCAGATTTCAATGGCTTAAAGGTTGAACAATTATTACCTTCTGGTCCCCAAATGTCTTCATAATCGCTCACTTTATCTAATAATGAGCTTCTGTAATACACGCCTGGTGATTCTAAGATGTCTGATTCCTAAAATCAACAATTTATATGTACATACTTTGTAATAAGCTTTTACATTTGTACTTTAATAAATTGATGCTATGTACTTAGAATAATTTCATTATATTTTACATGCTATTAGTAATTATAGTACAGCGCACACAATATTTGATATTTATATCGCTTTATAAAAATACACATGCTATAAATTGCTTGACTAATTGAAAATTATGTATACTAAACAATTTTAATATTATGATATTGCGTTAGCGTACTATTTGTGTAATACAATTAAATATCTAAATAATCTCTCTACCTGATAATGTCTGGACTCCTTTCGTAAGGAGTGTTTACTTCTCCTCGATCTACCAGATGGTGTAGTACTCGTAGTGTTTGTATTTGGAGACAGAATTTTATCTTTGCCTGTTACAGGGGACAAGATGCTGTGGTTGGAGGTGGGCGAGAATACATTTTTATTAGAGACAGGAGAGCTTCTGGACACTGGGGAAAGGATCTCACTTTTGTTGGTCTGACTTGAGGGGGAAAATACCCCACTCTTAGAAGATATTGTATCATTAGACACTGGTGAATTTATTTGACTTGTTGGTGAAAATATTCCACTAGTAATAGAGTTTGTTCCATTTGGGGATACTAATTGGTTTTGGGCAAAACTGCAGGACTTTGTTAAAGAGTTGCCAATGGGATCTATAGATTCTGAAGTATTTGTTTGAGACTGTGATCCTATTGGCGAGTTATTATTTATTGGTGATTCTGGTTCTCTGGTATTCTGCTCAACTGATTGACTTTTAAAGCTGCCATGGAAGTTAGTTGTTAAGGCTTTGACACACTCTCCTTCTGGTGACAGACGTTGCGTCATATTCTATACAGGAACAGGAAGAACTTTTATGTAGTATACCACTTTTATATACAAAAAAATCGATATTTTAGGTTAGCAAACAAATACTCGAGCAATTGGCTTTATATAATATAACTAAATATATTTACATGCAAATAATATGCACACCATGCAAAACCATGTTTTATTCCTTACCTGCATATCCCCCTTAGATTCGAAAAAGCTTTTGGCTGAGTCCTGTTTGAATGCAGTAATTGCGTTACTGTTATTGTTGGCGGCATTAGATGAAAGCGTTAGTTGCAACCGGTCGCTGTGTGTACTCTCATTTATTTGGTCACAGTGAAGGTGTGTATTACTACCACTGACTGTAACAGTTGTTGAAACTGTCATATTTCCATTCAGTGACGCCTTGTTAATGGTGCTAAAAGAATGGGTTTCTGACTTTGGAGATAGTGACATCTTCGTGAAGGGTGGTTTCGTCCATCTTGGTGGTGGTGGAGGAGGAGTGGTTTTTACACTGCTTGTTTGTGTGGGGGAATGTTGTGTGTTTGTTATGGGAAATGTATGTGGTTGCGTGATATGAGCCTGAAACGATGTTAAGCGTTGATTAAAGAAATTAAGGAACAACACCGACAAGCTGCTATAATTAAGAGCACGGTTTATGGCATTTACTCACTGTACTTGATATAAGGTTTAGTGTATTTGGTGGGGTTGGTCTTGGTGCACGCACAAAATTTCCGCTCGGCTTTGCAGGTGGTGATGGAGCTGTTCTTCCCTTGAAGGTGCTAAGGCTTTGACTTTGGTTCGGTGGTGATTCTGATGTATTGACTGGCGACATTTTTAATACTACATTTTGTTCCTTATCTGGACTAAAGACACGCTCTCGAGAATTTGTTCTTGCGCCTAAAAAATATGTTACAAAAATATACATATTAAACGTGGAATGGTGGAATCATCATCATCATTACAGCCCTTCACAAGTCCACTGCTGAATATAGGCCTCCCCTAAGGTATGCCACAAAGCACAATCCTGCGCCACCTGCATCCATCGACCTCCTGCATGTCTTACCAGGTCGTCACTCCATCTAGTGGGGAGTCACACTACACTTCGCCTACCGGTACGAGGCTGCCCCTCGAGAATCTTTTTTCCCCAACGGTTGTCGGTTCTTCGAGCTATATGGCCGGCCCATTGCCACTTCAGCTTACTAATCCGTTGGGCTATGTAGGTCACTCTGGTTCTACTCCTACTGGTTCTACTACTTGGGGATATCCTCATTTCTAAGTTTATCCCGCAGATAACAGTGGAATGCTAACTTAAAATAACAACATTCGTATTACAAGAGTATCATAAATGAGGTAATATATTTCTCATTATTTTCTTTTTTTTTTCAACATAATTAAAACCACTGTTAGTCATCAGACACTTCGCAGGTGGATTGGTGAGCACAGAGCAGGAACTTTCATACAATAGGGTCGGCATTTTTTAAAGAGTTTTTCGCAATATGTTGGTCGTATAAGTCTTATCCGTCTGTCATATTGATTTACATGTTCTTACACCTTTTTCTAACACTTGTGCAATAAAACCGAAAATATGCTATGATGTTATAGTGTCAGAGGCACGAGAACATTCCCAATACAACCATTACCGAAAACTGAAAATGAAGCATTTGTGCTTCTTAACAAATGTTCAAAAGGATTCATTCATATCCAATACCCTCGACGTAGTAATCAGGAACTCTGATCAGTAGGGTACTAGGTCATCAATATTTTATTCTAATAGGAGAACTTTATTTATTTATTTAAATCAACCCGTGTAGCTAACATAACACATTCCAAAACGCAAACACACTATTATCTTAATTGAGAATAAAAACCAGTGCGTGTTTTCAGTTTCAGTGTTTTCATGTGGATCTGAGACGTGATCCTTCACTGCTGGCAATATGAGGAAGCTCAAGGTTGCTCAGCGTGCTATAGAGAGGGCTATGCTCGGGGTTTCTCTGCGAGATAAAACTCAGAAATGAGGGCACCCACAGTAGAATCAGAATAACTTAGATTGTCCAATCGATTGGCAGTAGGCTGAAGTGGGAATGGACTGGCTATATAACTCAAAAAACCAACAACTGAAGGGGAAGAAAGGCCTTGAGTGGTAGTCTCGTACCAGTTGGCGAAGTGTAGGACGGCCCCCAACTAGATGTAATGAAGACCTTGTAAGACATGCAAGAAATCGATGGATGCAGATGGCACAGGACCATGCTTTGTGGCATCTCTTAGGGGAGACCTATGTTCAGCAGTGGACTTGTGAAGGGCTGTAAAGATGATGATGATGTATTAAAAATTACATTCTTTTCTGTCGTGCGAAATAAAATGAAATAATCAAAAATAGAAATTAAGTAATAAGTTACCTATATGTCCATAAAAAGCTCCCTTAATTTAAAATGTTATGCACTTACTTGCATTAAAACTGCTTAGACTAGAGCCAGTATCAGAAGGTGTAACAGCCATTGGTATGACACCATTGGCTAGTTGACACGGTGACAGAAGATTCTGGGAATTGTTTTTGGGATTTGCCATTGGATACCCCCAAAATTCTTGGCCAAGTAATGTGAGGGAGCTGAGTTGATGGCGGCTTTTAGCTTCACGTAATGGCCGTGGCAACTGCAGTTGAACAGGTAATTCATCGCTGTAATTAAAAAAATGATTGACCGCAATTACGCTGACTGTAAAATATTGTTTACTAATCGAAAATAATAAATTCTTTTGCCATTTTTAAGAAATAATTGCAAGATTTTTTAGGCACTTAAGTTAATGATTTCTTATATTTACGCGAACACTATACATTAATTCAAACTACTTTTACGGATTTTATCGCGTTTATTCGACGTTTCGGGTGCTTTCCAGCACCCATGGTCTCGGGGGACTGAGGTGACTGACGTCCTGATGTCAAAGTTAATCCGGAGTACCGTCAGCTTTTTAATTATATAAAAAGCTTTTTAATTATATAAAAGTAGTTTGAATTAAGGCTTATAAACTAGTACACTACACAGTTTCTGACACATACATCCTATATTCTTTTTTAAGAAACTCGTAAATCCCCATTTCCTTAGACTTTACATAAATTCTAATCGCATATGACTTACAATAATGAAGTTTAGATAATAAAATGTCTGTCTTCACTGACAATTAGTATTAAGCATAAATTCTTATATATTTTTCTTTGGGTTGACTCCCACCCAGATTTGGATGAGAATATCACACATCAAGTCCGTCTTATGCGCCTTTAGTTTTAGGTGTTAAAGGTTAAAAATTATATGAACCTGTGCCCCAGACTGTACATAGAAGAAATATATGTCATTTGAAAGTACAGATCTTCCATATAAAGAATTAGAAAAGTGCATGTAGCTACGCAGTAGTGGACAAAAGTTATGAAGATTTTAAAAAAAAGTTGATTTTTATCATTATTACAAAATGTAGATATTAATAAAGTTCCAATTCGTGAGTGATATGTAGGCCAATGTATTGCATGATGATTAGGATGTATTCTAACTGGTTTACTATTTTTTGTGAAATAATTAATGGGTGCGTTTGGCAGAAAAAAGCGCTAGCAAGCGCTTGTAAGCAAAATGGCGATCGTAAGCGGTAAGCGCTGTTAAATCGTAAGTAGCTATTTTCCTCTAGGACACGAAGTTAGTTAGGGACCCTAACCTAATTTAAATATATGTTTGTAAAGTAGTCATATTAAAAACTTACCAATCATGAAATTTTAATAACATGTATATGTCTATTCATGTCATTATATTACTTAAAAACTAATATTGCCCAAAACAACTTATAAACTCTACTTAAAAACAAACAAATTAAATAAGCAAAATGGTGGATAATGTCAGCGCTACTGAAGTTAGCAAACGTGTCCTGACCGAAAACTGTTTAGTTTCGCCATTTTGCTTACAAGCGCTTGCTAGCGGTTTTTTCTGCCAAACGCACCCAATACGTTTACTTATGATACCGAGTGACACTTTGAGTTTGACTGTTTATTATTGTTTATTAATCGCTCGAGAGAGCAGGCAAAGGAACTAAGCCATACAGCCTTGTCTTTTTTTAAATTGAATATAAAGTATTTTGAAGTGTAAAGGCCGGAATCAAGTCTTATTTTTCTTCTTTCCATCTCTTCAAAATCCATAAAGGCCGAAGCCAAGTTTTATTTTCTTTAATTATTCATATTTTCAAAAACCACAAAGGCTAAAGCCAAGTCTTATTTTCCTTAATTCTTCATATTTTCAAAAACCACAAAGGCTAAAGCCAAGTCTTCTTTATATTATAATCTTTATAAGTTTCAATCCATATAGATTTATCAGTCCAGTTTCCCCCGCGCTTTTTTTTCTTTTCTTAGCGAAGCCCTTGGGAGATTTTGACGACAGCTCAACCTAGCGGACAGTTGATGACGACCACTCAAGTTCATAAGGCGCCTAAGCGATCAAAATAACTTAAGGTTTATATCGACATCAAAGCACTTGTTTCGTCGTTTTCTCTAATAGTTCACACGCGCAGACCATTAATTCACAAAATCACATCAGTTTTACGAATTAAAATCCACTTCAAAACATTATTCAAGCGACAAAACAGGATCAACAGTCCGTCGTGGGCCAAGTTTCTACCAAAACTCCTCGACTGTTTTGATGCTTGATGGACGGATTCAGTGTTGCAGGTACTAAAGTAAAATAACCCTATTCTATAATGTAACGCTATATGTTAAAGCTATATTAAACAAATAAATAAAATCCTATCCTTTAGTGTATTTTGATTATTTTTATGTATTAATTCTTTAATTGAAGGCTTGTTTTTATACATTACATATCATAAATAAAGTATTTTTATGAGTTTAGCTATTGTTTTTCCCTACTCTGATCTTTTTAAGTATTATATGGAAACATTTTTTGATGAGGATTGGGTGACAAACGAGCACACAGTTCACCTGATGGTAAGTGGTTGCTGTGGCCCATAGACATCTACATCTATCCTCGATTACGAATCAAAATGCAGATGCGTTGCCACCCGTGAGGACTAAGATGGAATGCCTCGTTTCCAGTAAAAAGTGTCTCCGGTTCTCTACACTCACCATACGAAACACAGCAGCATTAAGCTACTATTTGACGCTGGTATTCTGTGAGAGCGTGGTCCTTCCTCGGTTGAGTCGACCCATTCGTGCAACAACTATACTACTAATATAACTGCAGCATGGCTCACACGTGCCAATAAAGAAAGTGACGAAGCATCTGCACTTTGATTCTTAATTGAGGATAAATATAGATGTCTATAGGTCTCAGCATTCATTTACCATCAGGTGGACTATGTGCTTGTTTGCTAGCCTTATTCTATAAAAAAAAACTTCATCAGATTTAATAAAGATATTAATAGTTACTTTGCAACCATCCACTTAATTAAATACAATGTTGTTGCCTGACCGCTAAGACCACTTAGCGGTCAGCCGCCGTAGAGTCTACATCACCTGAAGACGCCTCGTGTAGAGGCGAAACACATGTCGTATTATCGTCGATGGTGTGTCTTTCCTAGAATAGTGTGTGGAGTAGTGGTGTTGGGAGTAGTGGAGATGGGATTAGTGCACGCAATTGAGGGAGGGCGGGAGGTGCTCTTCAATCTAGGTAAGATACATCATTGTATTTAATTGAGCGGATGGTTGCAATTAATATCTTTATTATAATGGATTTCCGCAAAGTAATGCCTGATTCTATGAATTCATTAGATTTGGTAAATTGAAAATAATTGAAAAATACAATATTCTAATAAAGATATTAATTAATTTGCAACCTTCCGCTTATTAAGGTACAATGATGTGTCTTATCTGGATTGAAGATCACCTCTCGCTTAATATCTTTATTATAATGAATTTCCGCAAAGTAACGCCTGATTCTATCAATTAATACAATATTCGTCAAAACTCTAGAAGCAATGATGTTGCAACACTTTACAGTAGGATAGACGGACAGAGCAAAATTATAAACGTATTGTCCTCAACAGCGAAATCCTAAAAGATCTCCACAACTGTTCCGAGGATCGAAGAAGTGTCTATGGTGTTCTGGTGCGATGCTTCACTTTTCGCAAGCCCTTAAAATTTATTTTTTTATTTTATTTTTCGCTTTAAACTGTAATTAATTACGTTACCGTGGCGGCAACGGGATTGGTAATGTTCCCCTCTCCTTGAACTAACAAGGCTCTTACAGATTATACATAATATATATATTATAAACTATTTACCAGCATTGTGAATAATGCGCAATCAGCTCGGGGATGTTATCGAAGCGATTGTGCGATGTCTCGAGGCCAATGCGACCACCCGAAGCCTGTATGAGGTAATGTTCGATATAGGGCCCCTTATCAGCTGGAAGGCGGACACTGATCGCCATTGTATCTGGTTGACTTGATTGACGAACTACGAAATTCTGTAAATAAAAAAAATATTCACGATTAAGATAAGCCACAAGTATTGAAAAATTAAAATTGTTTATTTATGTTTAATTTAAATATTTATATCGAATCGTATTATGCATATAATACACATAAACAGTAAAGTGACGTTTTTTAATTGTTTTTAAGTATATTAATATTTATACTGCTTTGAATTCAAATACTTGGTATAATAGTTATATCTTATAGCTATATATTCTTTCAGAGATACTCCACATTAATTTTGTTTCAGTTTGTTTTCCTTTGTATTAATCTATTTATTTATGAATGGGTCGTTTTAATAGAACATTATAATTTTATTTTTAATTCATAAGTACACTGACTCTATGATATTGTACAAATGTGTATGTTCCCAAATAAAGAGAAAAGAAACGACCATACCACACGTAGGCTACGTGGTTAAAGTGCAGTACTCCGCAGATTCTGGTCTGGACGCGAGAACACAGTTGTTTTAATTTTTTTACTCTCTTAATTGTCTCTTACACTGCATCCCTACTTCCTAGCTTACTTCCGATATAAGTTACTTCAGGTACGGATAGGTCAGCACGAGTGCCTCTGTGTTTACCTGAATTCTCAGTTTCAGGCAGTTTAATGTAATATTCCTACGACGTAAGAAAATTTCAGAAGCAGTTGTCGTAAGAGACGACTGTGACAAAGACCAGAACCAGAACCCTTACGGCCCTCAATAGCTATTATTCAAGCTAATAATACGAGTACATAAATGCTTAATAATGAACGTAAATTTACTTTACAGTTAGGTCGTAAACTTTATTTATATTTTTTTTTGGTTCATTTTAATATTAAATATTTTTAAATTTATATGTTATGGTACCGTAACAACGAAAATAAATTTAAGTTTAATTTAAATGTCAGATGTTAAGACAAAGAAAATAAAACATACCCCTTCCTCCTTTCCTTGCAGTAAGTGAAACGCGCCAGCTCTTTGAATCCCGGGCAGGAACCAAACTGGATGAGTTCGTATCAAACGTTCCAGTAGACCAATGTCGCATGGTGGCTGCTCCTCCGACCCAGATCCCGATGAGCTGACTGAGGAGCAATCACCTCGAGCACCTTCGCCGTCTGAAGACAAGCTTTCTCGACTCTGTAATAATTATTTGATTACTTAGAGTGTGTATAAAATGTAGTAAAATTTAAAAAATCTTATTATATTAAATAAATTCTAAATAGATATGTATATAATATGTTCTTTTGTTTCACTTAGACGGGCTTGCTTCTTTCATTCTGTTTGATTAATATAAATCAGTTGATTGTTGAGTTTCGTGACACCCAGGTTGGATGTTATTCAGATAACGTAAGATTTAATAATATCATAGTAATAATATAATGGTACTTCAGGGAAAGGAACTCATATTATATATTCTATCATCTTTAGTGCCCTTGGCGGTCCACTACTGTGCGATTTACTAGGGATTTTCTTCCTCGCACGACTTCTTTGTGGAATCGTTTACCGCCGGCGGTCGACGCTTACCATCAGGTGAGCCGCATGCTCGTTTGCAACCTCTTCTATATAGATAAAAAATCTACGAGAACGATAAGCAAATGAGTAGCTGCTTAAAGAAAAATTTTTGATTCCCGAGAGATCTCCACTGCGAGACATGAAACACAATCTAAGTGTAAGGGAAATAACTATATGGTCGTCGGAGGTTTACACAAAAGGCAAAAGTTCAGATGATCTTATTTTTTATGTGGTAGAGCCATGCTGCAGTTATATTAGATGTATAGATGTAGCACGAATGGGTCGGCTCGACCGGGGTAGGACCACGCTCTCACAGAATACCAGCGTGAAATAGTAGCTTAATGCTGCTGTAGTTTTTCGTATGGTGAGTGTAGAGAACCGGCGACCCATTTTACTGGAAACGAGGCATTCCATACTTAGTCCTCACGGGTGACAACACCTCTGCATTTTGATTCGTAATCGAGGATAGATGTAGATGTCTATGGGCCACAACAACCACTTACCATCAGGTGGACTGTGTGCTCGATTGTCACCCTATCCTATAAAATAAAAAAAAGATCTCACTCTAAGCATGACTGCTTATTACCTATCAGATACTGTTACTGAACTATGCATATACAGGCAAAAACACATTCTCTGCCATCGGTCACGTTTTAAATGCAATACTCCCTACAGAGTGACCGACACAGCAGTGAAAGGCTTAAGTATAAACATAAAGTCATAATCTATCATTGACATTAAAAAACACTATTTAAAATAAAATAATTTATTTCATTTTAAGTGCTGATTTATTGTGTGCTCGGTCGGGAGAGAAAACATCGTGAGGGAAACTTGAATATCTTGATAACTGCAATAGCGCGATAGACTCTTCATTGCCCTAAACCCTCTTAGAAATGAGAGGAGGCCTGCTCTCATAATAAGCTTCCTAAATTAAGTATGAAAGTTCTGATATCGGTACGATATCTGTACCGTGGCGTGCAATGAAAAAACTTCGCGATAATATCGGTATCGGTGACGATATATCGTTATCTTATCGGCCAATGAAAAACGCTGATCCACAAATGCGATTGTTAATAATATGTTTTTGTATCTTTGCTTCGCTTTTCCTGATTAAAAGATAGGTCGGATCTTATCTCATATTATTATCTTATACACACAATACAAATTAAAACACATAATACAAATTAAAACAAGACCCTATTTCTTAAGTTATAGGACCTAGGTTGTGTTCAACATTAAATAAAACACCCAATCCTCAGTTTCGGGCAACTTGCCCACAAAGCTGGCGACAGGCGGATAGCGACGACAGGCAATTTTGCTGCCTACTACGTACTTCATGGGCTCCGTATATTTCCTTTCTGATTAAATTTGTACTCTGTGCCAAGATAGCTTTACAGCCCTATGATATTATTAGGTCTGAGCTTTCGTAACTATTGATCTGAACAAGGCAAAAGTTGTAACAATTATCGTTTAGTTGAACAACTGAACCTTCTTAGATAAAAGCGCAGAGATAAGGAGTTCATGTAATGGTTATTGTTATATTTGAAAGTTGAAATGAGTCAAATTATGTACGGAGCCATTCGGTGATGAGATATTCGGCGATTTAGATAAGAAATTAAAGATATAATAATTTAATTCAATATAATTTAACATATTAAAAGTCTATATTTTCTGTGATGTTTGTGCTGTTAGACTTTTGGATTTTACAACTTCATCGGTCTCAGGGCTCGCAGCCTGAGGGCCGCAAGCTTAAAATAAAAAAGGGGTTTTCTGCACCGATCTGCATCGTTACTTGCATACGTAATTAACTGTTCGCCTACGTCAATTGAAAGTGCACGTAAATGAGTTATCTAACGGTCTTCCGAACATGTGGCGGGTGGGTGGCGGGCCCTCGGCTTTGACTGCTAACTCGTATCGGTACCGATGTTCTGGCGGTGAGAACGTTGAACGCTGATGTGTACGCGGTGTGGACGGCGCACTCCGATGTACTAAGTGTGTTTGTTGCACTAGGTGAGTATGTAGTGTTTATGTGTGTGTGACTGGCCGGCGACATTTGGGTCGTCGAAATCTAGCGGATCAGGGGGTTCGATTAAAACGTTGCAGGGCCTCTGGAGACTTTCCGTGACGTTTGGAGTCAGGACGTAGGTAGCTGCGTTTACCACTAACGGCTTGGAATGTGTCTCGGCCCTCGGCTCGGCCTCGGTTATTTAATATAAGTCGTTCGTATACTTTCCCCAGTGTGCTGAGCAGACTTATAGGTCTGTAACTGGAGGCTAAGTTGCGCGGTTTCCCTGGTTTTGGTATTCCTATAACGTCCGCTTTTTTCCAGCCATCAAGGAAGGAGCATTTGGAGAGAAGGGCGTTGAAAATGTCCCGCTACGAGTCAAGCAATTGGCGCTGAGAGTGCTAATGTCGTCGGGGCCGGGTGCTGATTCCTTTTTGAGGTGTTTAATTACTTCTGTGACTTCATTGACAGTTATAGGCTCTAAGGGTATTTTTTTAATATTACATTTCTAAAATTTTCCATTATGTAATATCATTTAATATTATGTCTAATGATGCCTTAGATAAAACATGCATGAGCATGGTAGCAAATTTAGAAATTTGATTCAATGAATCTTGGTTCCTGAAATTTGGTTCAATGAATCACCAGAAAATCAGCGACATTAATAATCGTTGATAGACAGATATTAAAAAAATTATAGAAAATCAAAATAAATAAAATATTATTATTATATTAAATATGATTGCAACATACATACCAACAAATTTTAAACATTTAAACATGGTGTTAAAATGCAATGATCCATGAATTAATTATGAAAACAAAAAAAATCAATTTAACTATAAATCATCCGTTCTCTTATACAATGAATAAAACGACTAGAAATGTTTTTCGAAATACAACTTCGGCAAAAAAGGTATTTCGCGACAAATTTTCATGATGCTTACTTCAAACAGAAGGAAAGCTCTTTGTTCACGGACTTGGAAATATTATTACCCGATTTCAACGCAAAAAGGTTCGGCGGCGGCTGTCACAAAGGCAAAATTCAGGGGTTCCAAACTCTTTGCAGATGTCATAACAGTCCGCATGATTTTTATCGTCAAAGTATCATTTTCGAACAATTATTCGAATATGTGTAGCATATTCGATGTATGTATTTAAAGGAAATGGAAGTTCGTTTTGAAAGTATATAAAATTTTAGATTTACAAAAAGGTATTTTATTAATGTACAGAAATATGTTTATGTCCACAATTGTAGTCTTTGTGTATTTCGTAGAGCAAAATATTGTTTTTAAATTAGGTTAATACTTTGTTTCAAATTGAAATTATCTACATTCTGCCTCGTTGGTCTAGTGGTTGTAGTAGTACGACTGCTGATCATGAGGTCCTGGGTTCCAATCCTGGGTCGGGCCAAAATCAATTATTGAGTTTTTCTGTCAAGAAATTCTCAGTAGCTGCCCGGAATCAGGAAGTTGGCGGTGTCTCACCCCCGTGCCTCGGAAAGCACGTAAAGCCGTTGGTCTTGCGCCTTATCTCTCTCCGGTCGTGTCGGTTTACCGTCCCATCGGATTGTGGGAGTGAGTGAATAGAGAGTGCACCTGTGCTTGCGCATACACTTGTGCACTATAATCCTGTCCTGCGCCGATGGCTGACCTCCATTGAGGCAGGCCGCCGTGGCTGAAATTCGGTCTGGAGGACATTATTATTATTATTATTATCTACATTCTTGTATTGTTACAGTTGGAGAATTTGGTATAATCGTCACAAGAAAGTCAGGTGCATTAGCAACTATAGAATCAGTTGCAAGGTATGGCTGCTTTATACAACATTTCCATTTTTCGACTTCAACGGACACCACACGTAAAGATTCAAATATATATATTTATATATATATATATAATATATATATATATATATTTATATATATATATATATATATATATATATATATATATATAAATACCGCACGGCGAAAGTCACATTAATTTTATCAATAATTAATCTTATCACGGCTGAGTTTTTTTACCCCTGACAGATAGCAAACAATTTCATATACCTTCATACTTTCTCGTTTAAGTCGAATTACGTTCGCTTATTATGCTAAAGTTATTTCAGTCCTTTGGTCAAGTGGCATCGGCCCTAGATGAGACTATCCTGAGAGGGTAGCGATAAGTTTTGTAAAATATTATAAGCGGCCAGCTTCTATTATTTGAGTTTTCACTGATATTTTTATGAAATTGAAGTAGCTCTTAGCAAAATACAATCTAGGGGGAAAAAGGGTCGCAGAAATATTTTAAGAACACTCTTTTTTTTAAGACTATATTTTGTGAGTGCAATATAAGTTGCTGTAGTTAATAAATTAAATGCATTCTATTTTTTTAGACATATTATAAAATGATATTTTTTGTTACGTTCTAGATGACCTTATAAGAATACACATGCAAATTTTGATTCCTAAGGCGATGTTGCAGTACTTTTCAACGTCTTTGAACCTCTGTAAATGTATTGAAAATTAAAAGCTTACAGATATTCTAATCAAGACATGTAAAACTTACATCAAATAAAAATCATTATTATTTTTTGGTCGTTTTGAGAACACATTTTATAAAGTCAGAACAGT